TAAGTTTGCACCAATTTCTGTTACTGTGGGTTTGGGGTTTTTCTCTTTTTTTTTTTTTTTTTACTGAAGAATGTAATGTGTTTAACTCTTGGCACTATTTGGCTATTGATGCTGGATGGTCAGTATTTCAATTACCTGCTTACTGAATGGATACTTTCTCTTGCATATATTTTGAAAAATGGTTTGCTCACTCTACATAGTGTCTTTGGTATAATAGATGGAAAAGCAGTAGCTACCAAGATGGGTATCTGTCACAGTTACTTGACCTATTTTGTGCTGTCTAGAGGTGTGGGGCACACTTCTGGCCTGGAAGATCTGGTTCTTGTAAATACTTTCAGGTTGGTACGTACAAGTAGAAATGTTCAAAATGAAAGGTACAGGTGAACCAATGGAAATAATCAGATACTGCATGTGTGTGTAGTATGTAATTCTGGCTTATGTTCAACCAACCTGTCATGTTACTGCAAATGACAGTCTGAAACAGTAACTGAAACTGATAACAAAAGTTATCTTCAACCCAGTTCTTTGTAGTCATACTGTGAATCGATACGAGTAAGATTCTGGGAGGGGTCAAAAAACTCTTTCAGGCCACCTTGTGGTTATTTTTGTAGGGAAGGAAACCAGTTTTTCATAGCTCTACCTTAGGAGGCAAATGAGGTTCTGTACAGGGAGCTAGGTCACAGGCACATGTTGAAAGCACACACGTTCTCTAGGATAATTTGGAGCAGATGCCTTTGCTTTATTATCAAGCCTGACTGCCTCATGTTTGCCATGGGTCAAGACTCATCACTTACCATGTGCTGGCTGATCCACATCTACATGCTGAGTGTGGAGTAGATGCTATACTTCAAATGAGCATTGTAGCCTTGTGTAGGTGATTGCTGCTTGCTTCTTGGAAATGAATCTTCAGTCTTGCTGTACTTCTCCTGGACTTTTTACCTTTATACTTCTTTTAGCTAGTAAGTGCCAATTGTGTAAAGCAATGAATCATTTGGTGCTTGCCTGTAATGGAAGCTGACACTTGAAAGGCTGTAAATATCTTGGCAGGGAGTGCAAATATATTAATTTTTCTTAGCCTTACATTTTGTACTAGTAGCTAACTTGAATAAGGTTAGGCAATACACTTGGTCTGGTAAAGGTGCAGTTGCAAATCTTCGGTGTTACTGAAACGTCTGTAGACTGCACCTTTGTTGTGATTCCTTGCAAAATCTTTGCTTTGTTGGAAAAAGCCTATAAACCTAAACAGAACTGAATTATGTGAAAGTCACTTAGCAGTAAAAGTTTTAACTGTTATAGCATAAGTTAAATCTAGACCATATTTAAAAGCCAACTAGGCTGTTTCCTTGGTAAATCCAGTTTTGGCATCTCTGCTGAAATTTGGTATATGATTTAGTGTAGGTAGGTAAATGGTGCTCTTCAAAATTTGTTTTATCAGTCATTCAGATAGGTCTAAGTTTTTCAAATCTTTAGAAATATACTCCTGTTAGACTGCTCTTTTAGACTTTAAAGTTTAGTTGTCTCCATTGTCTTATTCTCTTTACATAGACAGTGCAAAAAGTTGTAGGTTGTTTTAGGTTGGGAGGATTCTCAGATAATCAACTGCAGCTTAAACCGTGTCAGATGTCAACCGATCTAGTTGCTTATGGGCTCTGGTGCCTGACCATTTCCTTTGTTGAAGCATGGCTGCTGCTTCTCATCCTTTTGCTGTGAACCTCCAAGAAACATCTGACTCTCAAGGCAGCGTTTATATTCCCCCTGCCTGTCTTTAGCCTTGTGTTCTGCTGATGAAATGAACCCACCTTCTTTAACCACTTTTTATGCATCATGTGCTTCAAGCCCTGGACAACCTCATGACCTTTTTCTTGGCTGTCCCCAGTTACATCTGTGGATGTGCCTGATTCATTGCTGTCTAAGCTTCCCTCATGTAACTCTTCCCAGCCAGCTGCAACCTTAGCTAAAGCTTCTTGTTAACTGCCGCTTTCTTTGAAACAAGGAGCAATATTTGTTATTTAATATCTGTATGCTGTGTGTTTTCATGCTGTTTTGGCAGCTTATAGAATTCTGTGATGTTGGGTGATTTGTATTTCCCAGGAGAATTTATTATTCTGCTATGAGCTATTCTGGGCATTAATGTAGGTGGTCAATACAGAAAGTGGCTTTCCCTTATGTAGTATTGATGGTGGTAAGTATTCAGTTCTCCTCCTTCACTCCAATGACAAGATGATCAATGAAACAGGCATCACACTTTCACCAAGGGTTGTCCATCTTGCTTTCTTAATTTTTTTGTTTTCTTCTTTTGTTCTTTGTGCTCCCCTTAGAGCCATACCCTTTGGTTATACAGCGGCTTGTGTTTTCGCTCGTACTGTACCCAGTAACTAGCAGTCATGAGATATGTTGCTTTGGAGCCCTTAGGTTTCAAAACATGTAGCTAGTATTTTCATAGGTGGTATGAGACGAGTTGTGTTGAGTGTAGGATGTGAAAATAACTGTATATTTGTTATTCTTCTTTAATGACGGTGTCTGGGAATAGGATAAATACGCAAGAATGCTATATATGACAGCATGGCAGTGTGGGATGCAGGGTCCTGTGTTCTGCTGTATCTGTACTATGCTGCTTATGCTATAGTTGGCACACAAATTGCTGATCTAGTTTGGGGTTAACTGTACAAATATTTCTTTACCTACTTAGCATTGCTCATGAAAATACTTGCAAAGAAGCTTTTAATAGATGTAACTTTTCTGAGATGTATATGATGTAGGTACTGTAGGGTAATAAGACATAGCAGATTGAGCATCTGTGTTGTTCAACCTGCATTTTGTAGAGAAAGAAATTTTATATTTTACTAAACTTAGTTTGTAGTAACTGTGGTATTGTAGGGAATCTTTTCTCTTGCATTCACAAATTCACTACTAACCATTCAAGGCTGGGCTTGCCTATGTTCTCTGACAGTTAGTTACTAGTTCTTCTTCCTGATGTGCCTGTCCTCTCTCCCCCTGCTCCCTGCCAAGTTCGTTCATATGCTTTTCACATAAACACTCATCACTTCTGTGAGGAATGATTTTCTGCTGGGTTAAAGCCTGCTTGCTTTACACGCTGCAACAGGTATCAAATTGTGATTTGAAAGTTCAATGGTATTTCGGAAAACATTTCTCCCAAGACAAAATATCATCTGCAATGGATATTTGTTTTGGGTTAGGGTCTTTTTTTGGTAGTTTTAGATACTGAATTTTCAAGTGCTATCTCTCTTTTTGTTGCTGTTGGCAAATGTTGCATTTTAGAATAGAAGTTCTTACTTCCTAACATGCACTTGAACTTCTTATGCCAAAATGCATGACTTTGACATCTAGTGATGTGCATACCTTTGTATTTAATTTGCATACCTGCCAGATAGCCTTGCACAAAACTGCTTGTGTTATTACTTAGGTGGGAAGACCTGAAGATCAAGAAGCTGCAGGGCTTGGTTTTAATGATCCAGTTCAGAGCCTGTGTCTTGCTGAGTAATATCCTAGCATTGTCTTAACAGCCCCAAATCATCATCCAGTAATAGATAACCATGACTTAAAAATGAGGTCATGAATGCCTGTAGTCATTACAGTTTTACTTGTAGATAAAGCAAAGGTTTATCTCTCCATCTCATTACATTTATGAATGTGGAAAGCATTTCCTGCTTGCTTCCTTTAATACTTCAACATGTAAATAGCAGCTTTTGCAGTTCTGACCATGCTAGTTCTGAGTATGTGGTAGCTGTGTCTACCTGCTGCTGTGGTGCTTCAGGATGAATGATTGTTCACAGCAAGATATAAAACTGTCTTCAAAGGTTAAATGTTTGCCTTCAGATTAAATGGATGTTTCCAGTATGTCTTAGTAGCCCTTAGACAGGCAGACATAGGACTTACTGAAGTCTTGATTTTTACTGAGTTTATAGCCTTTGGCAGGGCTGTCAGTTTGAATGGAAATTACTGGTTTATTTTGGGGTGGTAATAGAGTAGTAAGATGTCATCACTGCTATGTTGCATTAAGTTAAGCTTCATATTAAATAATGGCAAGCTGTGTTATATCATGTTTGGATGTTGATATAGTTGTATTTGTTAACATAGCATCATGATATTAAGTCATCGCTTCCTTCATCAGCATTTACTAATAAGTTACTGAATGATAATGTATTGTTATATTGTTTGAATCATTATGGCTTCCTGTGTTTGTACAGTTGTGACAGTAGCAAATCTAGAAGAAAGTTGTGGGAGTTTTTTTTCTCTTCTAGAAGAAGAGGGTTTTTTAACAGCTATTTGAAGTGCCACTAGATTATGTCTACTGGAAGTTCAGGCTGAACAAAAAATGGATAGCTTTGTTTTAGCTAGCCAACCTCAGGTTTTGTTGTGCTCCTAACCATCTTTCTATTTAACAACTCACTTTAACTAAATTCATCTGTCAGCTTCTGCATTGTTGCTAGAGGCTCCTTTTTGCACTTAACATTTCCTCTGCCCTTTTGAAGGTGGTGTTTGCATTGTACCAAGACTGAGCAGTATTTGAATCTTTTATTACGTTGAACCAATGTCTAAAAGGGTTTACTGGTCATTAAGAGGCCAGAAATCTGAGGTTAGTTAATTTGAGTCATAATCTTCCAGTAAAACTTGATTAAACAGTATCATGTAATAATTATTTTGCTGCTTAATGCTTTAGATGTTTGAAAGTTGGGTGTTGTTAGTCCAAGATAGTCGAAGTCACTATGGTACATCTATTCCAGGGCCTTCTAAGGCAGCTATGAAAGCAATTGTGGATCAGGAATCTTGGCAGTGAGCAGAGTGAAGTTTGTATTATGAAGTTCTGGTAGACCAGTGCCATGGCCCTTTTCAATAAATTATTTATTTTACTGGGAAGCCCCTCAGTTTTCTTAGAAAGTATTGCTATTTAAAATGCATGTACTGACTTTTTTTTTTTGTTATTGATCTTCCTTCACAAAACTCGTAACAATAACAGACATTTCTGTATTGCAGATTTAATCCAGTGCACAAATGAGATGAATGTGAACATCCCGCAACTGGCCGACAGTTTGTTTGAAAGAACTACCAACAGTAGCTGGGTCGTGGTCTTCAAATCTCTCATCACAACCCATCATCTAATGGTGTACGGAAATGAGGTAATACTAAAAATGATGCGTTTGAGAACAGTTGCAGTTCTTCATTTCTATAAATGTCAGCTAAATGCTTCCACTAATTCTCCTTGTAAGCAAATCTTTATTTTTACCTTCCTGTCTCACTCTGCATGAGCACAGGTCTCTTTTTCTGTTTGTCTACTTTATTTCTACTTTAAAGTTTGTAATTCTAGAATCAAAAGTAAGTGTCCTGAATGCTGGAGGTACTTTTTTCTATGTTCATATTCTAATGATAAAACAAACAAATAAAACTAACAGAAATTGACTCTCATGAGATTCTGAAAGCTGAAAATGGAAACCCTTTTAGGTTCATGCTGTAGCTAACCTAGATGGTCTTTTCTCCCAGTTAACTTGATTCTAAATAGATTTCCACCATCACCCCCTAACCTTTTGCAGTGAAGACAAATGTGTGTCTGAGTTGGCTTTGAGTGTGAACATGTAAATAACACCAAATACTGTGGAACAACTTCACAAATAAAACCCCAGGTTACACAAAAAAGGAATAAGTTTGTCTTGTTTCACACCTTGAATTCCGGTGGGGCCTTATTTTTCAAAGTGCCAAGCCAAGCATAGCAGCAACTTGAATTTTCTGCATTTAGAAAATCCCAAAACTATATTTCTAAGGCTTTCTTAGAAGCGTACACATTCCTTTTTACTGCAAACAGAACAATGTAAGACATATGTACTTCGGAATTAATAGAGAGTTTTAGAAAATTGCCAGAACTTTTCATTTCAGATTGCATTCAGAGTTCTTATAGGTTGTGTAGCTACTTTCTCTGACTTGGCTGGTTAGGAGGTGGAGGTTAAGCTTTTGAAAAATTCACCTGCAGATGATTTCTGGTCTGGGTGAAAATCTATTCTGTGAAGCTAACTAAGCCACAAGAGGGCAAACTTCTATTGTTGACTCTAAGCTTTAAGCTTTATCACTGGGATAACTGACTCTTTCCAAAATAGAATCTCTACACTTTGGCGGTGCTTGCACTTTGAGGTGTAGAAATTTTAAACTGATAGCAATATATTTCATAGTAGTTAAAAGTATCTCATGGGAACACTCTCTGAAATACTTTCCATTTGAAGAATAGAAGTGCCAAACAAATTTTGCTTGCCAATTGTGTTACAGAAGTAATGAGGGAAGATTGCTGCTCAAGATGAAACTTTTCACAGCTAGAAGTAGTATTTGAACAATGAGCATGGAAAGTGAGTACTTACGGTATCATCTAGTTTGGAAAAGACCTTTTGAGAGCATTGAGTCCAAGTATTAAACCAGCATTGCCAAGTGCACCACGAAACCATGACACATCTTTGTGTCTTTTAAATACCTCCAGGGATGGTGACTCCTCCACTTCCCTGAGCAGCTTGTTCCGGTGCTTGAAATTATGAAAATACCTAGAAGTTTATAGAGAGGCTGTAAATCTCTTTGGGAAAAACTGTAAAGCATTTGGTCCTCCAGCTTTTGCTTAATTCATGTATAGCTAGGTACTGTGTGCCTTTATTCTTCTCCAGTTTTATTCTATGTAACCTATGCATGCTAATGAAAATAACTAAGTAGTACATGTTACTCTCATCAGAACTATTTTTGTCTTCTGTCAAAATGTTATTGCAAGCAAATGATTGGTTTATTTTTGTAGCAGCTCTATGCAGTCGTTCGTAAAGCCAGATTATTTTCCCTACTAAATTAAGATGTGGTGACAGGGATCTGGAATGTGTCTTTACAAGATGAAAATAGCATCATTCACTTTGTAAAATGTAATTTGGAATTATGTATAACTAATGAGAAGTACAAAGTGTGATACTGTGTTAATGCTTTTAATGCTGTTTGTTTGAGATTTGATTTATAAGCAAACTAACATTTGTATCACTTTATTTTCATACTTAAGCTAAGTACCAATGCAAGTGTATGCTGAGCAAAGAGGGTTGACTAATTGGTAAAATTAAATCACCTGTTACAAAATTCAAGTCCAGTGAAACAACTGTAAGCATGTAAAATGAAAATGCATTTGGGAGGATTTTTTCAGAAGTTTACAGTTCAGTATTCTGGCTTAAAATAAAGTCTTTGCCATCAGAGGCTTTCATGCAATGTCTGTGACTTTGATTTGTTCACAAAATATATTTATACATAAAAAATAAGTACCTGAATTTGATAGTTCAGCTGAGTTTTTGTAATAGTTTCCAGATTTGAAATCAGTCTTCAAGCATAAAACCCATATTTCATAAGCTGAATAATGAGTTTCCAGTACTGTTGCCTCAATTCCTTCTCAGAGATAACATAGTAAAAGCATTCAATTTTTTTCTTTCATCCAGCGTTTTATCCAGTATCTGGCGTCCAGAAACACATTGTTTAATTTGAGCAATTTCCTAGACAAAAGTGGATTGCAAGGTAACGTGTCTTTTCTCATTAAAAGTTAGCAGTGTGCTGGTGTACAGTAAATATGACTTGGTTACTCTAATGGGCCATGTCATTTAAGCAGTAACTTTCTGTCCGTTTTACCCCAGATGGCATTTCTTAATTTCAAATGCCATAGAGGTATGGCAGAAGCTGTCTGATGGAGAAAGTCATTGCATCTTCTAGATAAGGCTTACTTATACATGCTTCTGACTTCCTTAGTGAAACAGATCTGACTTGGTGTTCCTCTTATTTCTGAATAGATGTCTTCATTTGGAGAGGTATATTTTGATAAGTAAATTCAATTTAAAAAGTGCATCATACATACATCAGATGCAGCATGCCAGTGAGACAAGAACTGTGTTTTTTAAAAAAAAAATTAGCTTTTTGGGCAATTGGTCAAAGACCGTTTCATCCATCTTTGAGGTAAACTCAGTGGGCAAAAGTTTTTTCTGGTTCAGATTTGTCAACTGAAATACCCATCCAAACTGTTACGCTGCAGCTCAGTGCAGTTCTGATATGTATGTAGCTGTTTGTTTTTTCCTCCTAAGGTGGTTTCTTACTTTTTGCACTGCTTTTTGTCTTTGCCACAAGTATACTAACAGGCAGCCCAAGTGGTTGCCTGGGGACAGAAACCATCTCAGTGATAACCAAGGGTGTACCAAATTGCCTCATTTTGAGTCTTAACTTCCACTGTCTCAGTATAGACTATGAACAGATCTTTTTCATAGTCTATATCCCTAGACTGACAGTTATCAAAATATTTCCTATCACTGTTGTCTCAACATGGAAAAATTTCTGTCATGTCTTAATGCTTCCTTCAGTGCCTTTTTTTCTCTATTCAGTAACAAGTGAGAGAATTTGTTGTGGAGTTGATGTGAATATCTTTGCAACTACATCATGTAATTGTTTTTTAGTAGTAATTTCTATTGTGCTATAAGAGAACTTGCATAAAAAATACTTTGTTTTGCTTTTGGAAGTAATTTCCTTAGGAAGCGAAGCGTAAACTTCCACATAGTTGCAGGTTCTAGATATTTGCAGTATTGTCTGTTTGATTTACACGGTGAATACAATGACGTACACAGTTCTCTATCAGATTATATTGTTGCCCCATTTTGCATAGCCAATGGAGCTGTCTTGTGTTAATATCTTGCACTTTATTTAGAGTAATGTTCTTTGATTAGGTAAGTAATTACCCTCTGAAACTTTGTTTCTTAGGTTATGACATGTCAACGTTTATCAGGCGGTATAGCAGATACCTGAATGAAAAGGCAGTTTCCTATAGACAAGTGGCTTTTGACTTCACAAAAGTAAAAAGAGGGTAAGGACTGCATTTGATTTTGTGCATCTTAAGGTTTTCTCTTGTGTCCTGATGTCCTGTAATTCAAGTGAAAAACTGATGCTGGCTCAGGCTTAGTACACACAATAATGTCTCCTTTCTTGAGCTGAGTATCTCCAGTTGACACAAAGGCTCAACTGCCTGCTAATGTATATTGCAAAAGTATTTTACTTCAGTTGTTGTCATTTTTCTTTTTTAAATATCAACAGTTTGATACAAAGGAATAAAAGATGGTATGCATCAAAGTCTGTGTAAAAAAAAAAAGTAGAAGTTTTGAACAAATCTTCTCCAATACATCACATACTTACATTGTATGTAGGATAGAGGACTGTGCAGTTTGTGTTTGTAGCTCTGGAAGATTTAAATGACAGGTGAAACACCTTGCAGTCTTTCCAGGTGTCTTTCTCTTCTTGTCCCAAAACAGGACATTGCACTAGATGCTATCCTGAGTTTGTCTACAGGAATTAAACTTTTTCCTGGATTGTGAGCTCATTTAAGAGAAATGAGTTGTTTGTGTCTAGGTACCTGTTTATGAGTAAAATAACAGTGCAGAGCACCAGTAGTTGGGTAAATTGCATGTTATAGTGAATGATGGAATTAATCTGGAGTTCTTCATTGGAAAGGCTGCAGAGGAGGTACTGGTCACAGTTGAAAGTCTTTCCATCTTTGTCTGTTATCTTTGTCCGTGGTGCTTTTAAAACTTCAACAGCATAATTTTAGTTTTACGTTTGGGCATTCTATACCGTCCATACACAGGCTAGTTTGTATTGAAACTAAAACCTTAATTCTGAAGTCTTAAAAATCTCAACTTAATACTGTTAAATGAATTAACTGTAGTAGTGGGCTGACGGATGACATGTTGCATTAGTGTTGCAAAGGCACTTGGAATGGGCCTCAGAACTGTATCCAGATCCCTTATGCCTCCCTGCTAATGCTGTAGAGTCCATTTGGTTTTGAAGTGTGATGGTAAAGTAAAAGGGAATGCTTGGGCTCCTTTTGCTTTTTGTGCCTTTAGGGATGCTTGCAGTCCCAACAACACAAAACATTCTTTTCCACATCTAGGATCTGTGTGAGGTCAGGTGACTGCAGCTGCTCTAGCAATGCACAATTTCATTACAATTAGGTGTTTCAGGCTTTATGAGGTGTATTATTTAGCTCACAACACATGGCTGGACGTACTTCTCTGAGCCAACAGGAATAACTGTTCTGGTGGCAACAACCTGTTCTACACCTCAGTTTTTCTCAGGGCCTCTGCCCCTGTACCCTGCCCCATTAGGTTTCTTGCAGTTGCTATTTGCTGTTAGAAGCAAGTAGACAGCACAAGTAGAGAGCTGCATGCTCCCCACTGCTTTCCAGCCTGGAGAACAGCCACAGCCTTTTCTGTACAGATGCACTGTGAGATTTGCACTTTCAGGAAACATTTGGTTTGCAGTGTGCATGCTGATGAACTGCAAGGCTGTCTGATTTGTCTTACAGAAAGCAGTTGTTTGTTGTCACTGAGGTGATTTAACCTCATCCTCAGTTGTTGCTTTTCTTGGAGTTTTTTGGTATTTACTTGAGTTTTTTTCATATGCACAGCCAATCTTAGTCTATTCAATCTGAACAATTAATGAACAACCTAATATTGGTAGTTATCCGTTAAAAGGAAATGTTCTGTAGTCTCTAGGAATCTTTCTGAAAAAGCTTGAAAACAAATATTACTGCATTTTTTTGTTCTTTCTTACCAAACGGGCTCAAAATGATCAAGTGATTGGAAAAAGCATAGGTAAAAATTTGCGTCACAAATAACCTTCAGAGCATTTTGTTTTGTTACCTTATGCATCATAGCTCTCCATATTTCTGAGCACTATCAGTTTTGTTTCCTCTGACTAAAAATTCATCTTGGATTCATATTTTGACCAAATAAAAGTTGTTCCTTTTCTGCACTGCAGTTATTAGTTGTATTGGCTAGACACCATTCCTGAACAGCAGAAGGCCTGCTCTGAGTGGCAATGACTTAAATGTTTTCTCTGACCTCTTTTATTTTCTATGTTGTTTCATTTGAATTGTCTTCAAAATTCACATAAATAATTGTTTTTGTTTTTTCACAACAGGGCTGATGGAGTAATGAGAACAATGAGCACAGAAAAACTCCTAAAAACTGTACCCATTATACAAAATCAAATGGATGCACTTCTTGACTTCAATGTAAGTTTAGCAGCATGTATGTTTCTAATATACTCTGTGGTGCACACCTGGCCAAGCTTGCAAAATAGGTCAAGATTAAAGGTCTTGCACTTGGTTCCATGTTATCTGCACCATTTAAAGAGCACAAATCATTTTGTTTGTTGGTATACCCCCCAGGAAATCAGAAAAAGAGTAATAGGGTGCTCACTAGAGAGAATGTCTTGTGCTAAATTACTGTTGTTTAGTGTACCTTATGAAGAATTGCTTGCTCATTTAAAAGCTGGTTATTTCTGCCCTGTCTTCTAGTTCTGTTAGTTAACATAAACATTGGTTACTAAAAATGTCTGCTAAAGTGATTTGATTTTAATTCTGTGCTGAGAGATCCTGTGTTGATTTGCCATGGTACTGTTTTCCACTACTAGCCAGCAAGATGTTTGGAAAGCTTGCCTTGGGATAGAGTACTGGAGTTCAGAATTTTGCCAATAAGGGATCAATTTATTTAAATTAACTTTTTTCTGATCTTTCTAGGTTAATAGCAATGAACTTACAAATGGTGTAATTAATGCTGCCTTCATGCTTCTCTTCAAAGATGCCATTAGACTGTTTGCGGCGTACAACGAAGGGATTATTAACCTCTTGGGTAAATATTACTGCTTTCTGCAGTGTTTGGCTCTGGGGTGGGACCTCAGTGAGCAATTGAAAAGAGTTGCTTTCTTGAGAAACTGAAATAGTCTTATTGTAAAACATGAGAATTTTACTGTTCAACTGTTTAATTCCCATGCTTATCTGCCCAGTTGTATTTAACACCGGTTTATACAGGGATGGATAAAAACTGAAAACCTATTCAAAATTTTATTCTCTCAAATTTTTTTTTACGCTGCTTTGTTGTGGGTTTTTTGTGTGTATTGGTTTTGGATTTTTTTGTCTCATTGAACATCATGGCAAACCTGAATCACTATATTAATGTGTTTCTTTTAAGAAATAAGATCAGGGTGTGTTTTGTTTTAAGTGGAGTAAGTTATGGTCAGTTACAAATTTGCAGTCACAAGATCTGTGATTGTCTGTTGAAAGTTTAATGTTGCTTGCTTGGTTTAAATGATTGGTTGTCTTATGTTCCTAGGGTGTATCTTATATTTTAAGGGGAATTGCAAATTCAGGGTTCAGGCTCTTTCACTTGTGCATATTGGAGATAAAGGGGAGCCTAAATTTAGAAAATAATTAAGTTGAACATATCTGACTTGCTTGGTTTCCTTGTATTCTGTGATTAGATCAAGCTACCTGATTGCTGTTATTACCCAGAGCTTGCTAAATGAAAAGCAGGATCCAGAATTAGTAAGGGACAATCTCAAGTCAGTCAGTCTTCCAGTCTGAAGCCCCAGTCTGCTTCTTTTCCCTTGGTAAGATGTAGCATGCAGTTGCTTTCACTCATGGTTTGAGTGAAGCTTGATATAGGAACATGGCTTGAAAGTGCTTTTCAGAATGGGAGTTGGCACCCTCTTGCTTTCAGTACTGGTGTTTTGTAGTCTATTGTACCTCACTGCACCAGTCTGTCAGAGAAGATGAAAATCTTGCCTGATATATGGCCCCTGGAATATTTGACTGCCAGATTGTAAAACTGCCTTTTTTTTATTCTTCCCAAGAAGATGAATTGATATTTTTTTGGGTGACCTATTCTTAAACTTGGTTGTCCTCTTCAGGGTGGTTATGCTTTTGTGAGATCTAGTACCTGCAAGGTAAGGTGTAATTGCATGCATGTGATCATTAGCTCACCTTCGACAGAGCTTATGTCATTTGGTGCAAGTTAGGCATAGTGATTTCTGCAGTTATCATAATAAAACAGATCTGCAGGCATTTTCTGTTTGCTTGGTTTATATGGTTTTACTTTGCAAATCCTTTGGAGAATCTTGATTTACTGTTTAATGCAAGTATTCTTACCATTTCTAGAAAAATATTTTGATATGAAAAAGAACCAGTGCAAAGAAGGCCTTGATATATATAAGAAGTTCCTCACTAGAATGACACGGATCTCGGAGTTCCTTAAAGTTGCAGAGGTAAACTTCAGTCAGTCAAACTTTGCCCTTTATTGGAAACAGCTTATAAAGGGTTTAGTCCATCCTAAAGCAGATATTCCTTCCTTCCTGTTTAATTGCCTTTCTGTCAAGGGTCATCTTGTGAATCTCTGCTCTGGTGATTAGTTCATTTGAGGACTGAATCGAAAAACCTTACTGCAGAGTACTTACTGTTTTGCCTTTAAGTTAAGGAGGGTGTGTTAATGTGCATTTCCTTGGTTATATAATGTGTGTGAGCTTCTTTTGAAGAATAGCCCTGCTTTAAACAAATTAAGTAACTTCATGGTGATACACTTAGTATGATTCTAGCTGTATTCTGGTTTGAAGCCCACAATTCTACCAGAAGCTTTAGATTAAATAACAGTTTCACAACTAGGAAACTGAGACAAGTAGATGAACATGTGATTTCTTTCTGAAAGATTTCTTGGCTGTAGGTGTGTTTATACAGGAAAAAATAGTTACCTTGCAAGTAGTTTTGTTTATGAGTTGGAGGGGGTTTTTTTAAAAAATGTGTTTAGTCTCTTACATTCTTGTTTCTGAAGCGTGTTGACTGTTATGGAATTCCTCAGTTGAGATGTGTCCCTGTTCTTGGTTTTATTTCGTTCATATTGATATCTTTCTTAACAAAAAATAAGCTGTAAAGCTTGGCTCACTGTCTGTCCTGACAAGACCATCAGAGATAGTCTTCAGCTGGTAACACTGGACTGAAGTTGAGAGTATTAATCTTTCTATTGTAACAGTAAGTGTCCTGCTGCAAGACACCCTAAATTTGATCTGCATTTTAGAAAACAGTTTCTTTACAAAACTTCAAAATGGCTTTGTTTTAGCAAATAACGTGCTCTGTATCAGTAGGTCTAAGAGTTTACCACATAGATTGTGGGATAGGCGAGCTTCTCTAGCCTTCAAGTTCTGAAACACTAGATTTTTATTTCTAAGGTTCTGTCTGTAACGTGCCTACTTCAAATGTGTATACATTTTACAAGAATTGGATACAGCTAACCTTTATAGAGTTCAGAATATGGACATTTGAAAAGTATATGAACTTTTGTTTTAATGCTGTTTACTTTCTGAGCATCTCTGCCTTTAACAAAAGCAAACAAATTCTAAAGCTCATTTCTTTCATTACAGCAAGTTGGAATTGACAGAGGAGACATACCAGATCTCTCACAGGTAGATAAACCTATTATGTGTTTGCCAGTGCCTGTCTATTTTGGGGGTTGCATAATCAGAAAAACTTGGCATTATGACATTCACTTAGGGTTTCTTGTATGTGTTGTCGCCAAGTGATTTCTAAGTTTGTGATTAAATCCAAGCTCTGTCAGAGCCTGGCTTTTGTATGCCTTGAGCTTGTAAAATACTATATACCATTTCTGTCATTCTTTAATTGAGTTTTTGGACAACCTTATTTCTGTCATGCTTGAAGATGCAATTTATATCTGAGTTCACATAATGAAACTTTTATGTGATATTATGAAGCTTTGGGTTTTAGCAGCCTTGCTTTTGGCTATGTGCCCACTGAAATTAATATGAAGACTTGCAGAGCAGGCACAGAGAAATGGCTTTAGGTGCAATTTCCTTCATAGTGTCTCTTAAAATACTCACTGCTTCTGATTCTCTGCTTCCTATTTCCTGGCCGTTAATTTTAACATTTCTTGACATATTTCAGTCCTTACTGGTGAATCATTATGACAGAGTAATGTAGTGAGGAGAGTATATCTATCACCTGATATTTTGCGTAAATATGTTCGGAGTGCCAAGGTGGGGTTTAAGTATTCTGAACTGTTGTCCCTGTTGCCTTACAGTTGCATTCTCTGGAAGCCTTTTAAGTATAGATTTCCTCAAATCTGTTTCCAAATACCTCTCTTTGCAGGCACCAAGTAGCCTTCTTGATGCTTTGGAACAACATTTAGCTTCTCTAGAGGGGAAGAAAATCAAAGATTCCACAGCTGCAAGCAGGTGCTTATGCCCTTGTCCTTCTGAACAATTGTCAAATCAAGTGTTAAATCAGTTTTTTTCAATTTCAGTATAAACTAAGGTTTGAGTAGGATTTGTTAAAGACATAATATGAGTAGTGATGGGATAGCAAGTTATATTTTTTGTTGAGTACTTAAAAAAAAAATTTTCCAGGTCAGCAGAACTAGAATCTAAGGAGCTCCAAGGAATCGCTCTAGCACCCCTACTTATACTTTTAACATTTAATCCTGAACTTCTGAAGAGGAACTAAGTTTCTTTCATGTACTGCCTGCAAACGTTCATTTTATGTAAATAATTAGACTTCTGTAAGGTGTGCAGCATGAATAAATGAATGTCCTTAGACTCTTACATCTCAGCTTTAATACTGTTTTTGTCAAAAGCAAGGAAATACTTCCAGAAGTCCTTATATTAAGAATGGATTTTTAAAGTAATTTGGGATTAAAGCCATGATGTATGTGGTAAAAGGCAATCTAACAAGCAATCTAGATTGTTTAAGTTTAAAAAAAGCATAATATTGGGGGAAGACTTGGAAAATCGAATAGCATGTTGTTATTTCATATTCAAAAAATAAGGCAGTAGTATTTTGCAAGTTTTTGGGGGTTTTATGATAGTGACAGTATTAGGGCACTATTTTGTTAGCAACTTTTTAGAATATTTGCTTTCATTTGTATGTTTGTTTACTGTTTTGAGTATTTGTTTTAAATCTTTTTGCATACTCTTAAACATGATAAATTGCAGACTTGCTCTGAGTTATACTAGTAGCATTGACAGTTTAACTAAGCCTGTTAACAACAGTTTGAATTGGAGCCCACATTATTGGAGATTCCTGTGTGTCTATAAATAATCTTTAGGCAAACAGAAGAAGAGCAAAGCCTTCAAACATGAATTTTGTAGTGCAGTTTGGAGGGGAAACATTTAATGGGACAAATCCAAAATCCTGTGTACAAGAGTAGATAACATGTTTTCTGGGCATTTTTAATTTTGCATTTCATACAGTGTATCTGATTTAAACCTATCACTTTGTGTTGTACAGGGTAAGGTATATCCAGTATTGTAAAGACTTCAGAAGGAGACTGGGTGGATACGAGCAAAGTGTTCTTTAGAAGTTCTTATCACGTGTCCTCTGTTAACAGCCAGCTTTTCTCCTGTCCAATTACTGTAGGGCTACCACCCTTTCCAATGCTGTCTCTTCCCTGGCAAGCACCGGCCTGTCCCTCACAAAAGTTGATGAAAGGGAAAAACAAGCTGCGCTAGAGGAAGAACAGGCTCGCTTAAAAGCTTTAAAGGTAGGCATACAGAGTTTTTAATTGAAAGTGCTTTTCCTGTGTTCTTGTTGATAGCTTGCTAGGATTCTTAAAGGAGCAAAGGGAAAAACAGAGTTGTAAATGGTGAACATGTAGTGTAAGCACAGTGCTGGAAGTAGAATCTTGTGTACTTAGATGATACAACTTGTGGAGGGTGTCTTAAAATAGTTTCTGAAGGATTTGTGGCACCACTGACACTTGGGGCTGACACTAAAGTGTGGAATAAATAATAAGAATTCGTTAGTTCTACTTTATTTACCTCCAGTGTCATATACACAAATGTTGTTTCTGGATTTCTTATGCTAGCTCACTTTCCCAACAGGAGCAACGTCTAAAAGAACTTGCAAAGAAACCTCATACCTCTTTAACAACTGCGGCTTCTCCTGTGTCAACTGCAGCAGGAAGCATAATGACTACACCAGCCATTGATATTTTTTCTACCCCTAGTTCCTCAAACAGGTATGCTGAATGGTATTTCACTGTGAGATGCACTGCAGCAAAGGTTTCCTTTAAATTTCTACCACAGAGCCTATCTTGCAGGAGATTGGTTGGGTGTAGAATACATTAGTTTATGTGATAAGAAATTATGTTTTGGATAAAGTTGATGAGAAAAATAATCTATTGCCATAAATAACAAAGTGTTTTCATCATAGTTTGTGGAGCAGTTTCTGGTATGAACTGACTACTGACAGCCCTTGTAGCTGTTCTTAGTCAGTGAGCCAGACAGCTGGAACTGTAAGTGCACATGCTTTGTCCTCCAAGAACCTTAAAAGTAAATTTGAGAAAAGTCAAATTAAAATTCCATTATGATAGGTCATAAAGAAAATAAATTTATAGGTCTTTAAAAGTACAGTGGCAACAAATATTCTTGGTAGATTTTCAGAAAAAGGAGAGCCTGAAGCAAGCTTTGAAATGAGAGACAGGTTTTGCAGTCGTGTTGTATCTGGAACATCTCCATCTGCAAGGACCTGCAAAGATAGTGCATGCTAATCCTGATCTTTGACTAGCAGGAGCTGTTGGTATAAGCAAGTACATGATCTTCATTCTGTAAAATACCTGTCAAATCAAGCAGTAGCAAGAGGCATAGTGCTTTTGTCAGTATAGAAGGAATTGGCTCTCTGAAGGCATATTTTTGCTTTGAGTGTGATATTAAACCTAAAGGATTGCTTAGTTGTTCTGTTATAACTCACATAAAAATCTATTGTTCTTCTAGAGTAGTTACCACATTGACAGCTTTCTTTTCCCATTAGAAAGCTATTGTAGGAAATTACTTGACACCAAATAT